TATATATATATATAGGATGCAACAACAATTATTTTTGTAAAGCATCCTGCATTAAATCATTTTTCTCTACATTGTATAGTACAGCGAAATTTGCGACTCGCTTAGATAGATTAGATCGTATGTACTTGACTAATTGCTTTCGCGCGCTATTGTAGCTCATTCCATCATAAATTCGAGTGAGATATATTCCCTCTTCAGTAGCTTTAACAAGTAGATACAATAAATATAAAAATAAAACGAATGGACAGAAAGCTTTCGTTCATGTGGATTAGCAAATGAAGACTAATCTTTCGGGAAATCCACAGAATTGATAGTTACGCCACAAATGTGTGCTTCAATGCTGTAATTTTTTTATTGAGGTACTTCCAAATTATTGACTGTATAGTATGGTGGACGTATTGTTACATCAAATCGGTGCTATTTATTAAGTTTTCAATAAAATACATTTTAACTAGAAGAAAAATCTTTTCTTATCTTCTTCTCATCATTATGAAATATAATTAACAATCTTCTCAATTTGACGTAGGTTGTATTGTATGAAAGTTTCGTTTAATTTTTATCTACAACTATATTTGCGACACGGCGAACTCGCAGATACATATGTAGATAGAGTATTGCTTCGACTTATGCTATATATTTTCGATATTGACGTAAAATGTTCAGTTATAAATGTCAGGTATCATATCTTGTACATATTGTATCTCGCTACTCGATTCGTCAATCTTTTTCAAGACGAAAAATACATGACGAAACATGTATTTCATTACATATATATTTTTCATTATATATATATATTTCGTAAATATGTATATATATACAATATCTTTACACCAATTTTTAAAAAAGGAACGTACAAAATAAAATAATGCGGAATGTAAACTGTGTACAAAATACACATTGCTGATGACAAATGAAAAGAAGAAAAACATGTTCAGCATTTACAAAAGTAGAAAAACGAATATGAGCGACAATGAAATGATTATTTACAGGAAATAATAATAAAAAATCGATCTTACTCTCAATTGAGTAAATAACTATTAAACAGTAAATACTGTAGATGATCTAGCTTTTACATCGATAAAATTGTATGTTGTCGATTATAACATAAAATTAAATAATATAAACGCAACACATATATTTACATATATGCTTCAAGAAGTATTGACATTTTCATTATTAAACACAGTAGGCGCGTATCTCACGATAGTCATTCGACACGTACAATTCGCCTAGCACAGAGTCAAAGATAAAGGATACGGTCAACGCGATGCTACAAATGCTTTAAAGCAATTTTTGATTGGTCAATTTGTAAAATTCTTTTTTCTAATTGATCAACCAAACGCTTCAAAGCATTTGTAGTGAGACTTTGACCGCAGTCTTAAAAAAGAAAAGAAAAAAAATGTTGTCAAGTCCTGTACTTTAGGCCCACTATAAATCACCTATCCAATTTGTATCTTCGCTATCTGATTTACAACACTCCATTGCTATCGACACGAGCAAATACTAGGCTTATTGCCGATCGTAGACTATAATTGCGTCCAATTATTGTTTCATCGATTCAAAAGTGACGACTATATTAATAACGTACCTTCATTATATTCATTGGAATTGTTACCTTGGAACTTTTGATCCTCAGCCCCATCTACTTCAGTATTTACTGAAATTTCGCACGTCTCGTTATTGCTGTAAAGGAATATATTTTTTAGTGACACATATTAATATATTTTAATGTAAAATATATATTTTTTTAATTTCAATGTAGAAGATTGTGAATACGAGTTATAGATATTGATTGATTATTCTGTTTACCTATTTCTAAAATGTTCCAGTTGTATATTTGCAGATTCCAATTGCTCTACGAGATCCTCGTTGGTCCGTTGCAGTTTCCGCACATTGTTCGTAGCAGCGTCAACCTCATCCTGAGCGGCAGCCAATTCTTTCTTCAATTCTTCGACTCTCGCTCTCACTCGCTTCACCTCCGCCTCATATTGCTCGGACCGTCTCATCGCGTGTGACAACTCCGTTGTTTTTTCCGCCAAGGATTGTTTCAGCGACGCTTGATACTGCTTCACTTCAAGTAACACCTGCATAAGAAAGGCAAGGTAATAACAGCCTTAACTTTAAGAAGGATTACTAATTTGTAAGATTACTGAACGGACCATGTTGCGAACTAGAATCTCGTGCTGCAATTGTCTCGTGTCTGTGTCGGCTGTAGATACCGGTCGTGGTCGTCGCGATTCTGCTCTCTCTTGCAGTTCATATAATTTTAAGCGGAGCAGCTTGTTCTCTCGTTCCAAGGAATTCTTCTCTGTTTCTAGTCTTTCCCTTTTACTCCATTCTGCTGCATTTTCAACTTGAAGTTTCTCTAACTAAAATTTTGAAATATAAAGATGTAAGAATATTTGTCTACGATATAGCACATATAATACGTGTAGAAGTTAAAAATAGAATTTAACAACTTTATCAGAAGTACGTTATTAGTTAATACTTAATGATTTCTTTAAAGAAAACGTGAATGTAAATGTTCATATAGTAACTTACTTCTGTCCTTAATTCTGTCAAACGACGGTCCATGCTCTCTCCATTACTTGTATTATCTATTAAATCCGCTATATGTTCGTCACTGAGTTCAAGTTGGAAACGTTCTTTTAGCTCTGATAATTCTCTCATTGCTTCAGCTTTACTCTCAGATAATTCCTCACATTGCTCTCTTAATTGTCTAACTTCAGCTTTCAATTTTTCCACAGTCCGATGTAGAGAATTGTTTTCCCTTACAGAACAGAAGTAAAATAAATTTATATACGACATAATCAATTAATTTTATACATTGAGATTTTGTGCAAGACTTACTCTCTTTCCACAGAAATGGTTTTCGTTGCCTTCTCCAATTTTATTTGCAACTCTGACATTTTGTGACTTAAAGATTCTTCGTTATACATATCTAAAGGTGATTGTTGTTTCTCCAATCCATCCATTTTGCAGTTACTATCCACGACTAGTTTCGTGATGCTTTTATCTAGCGAATTACTGGGACTCTCCTTGTACAATTCTACTGCATGTTTTGGTACAGCACCTTGCAAAACATATTCCTCGATATCCCTTTCTGGCAGAATATTGTGACCTCCAGAAGCAACATTTGCTACTTCATGTGAATTTTTACAGGATAGCATACCTCTTTGTGCACCTAACGCATCACTGGCATCAACATTATTGTAAAATTCCAGTTGTTCGTCCAATCCAAAAGTAGCTCTTAATTGTGGATCTGATTCCAGAATGGTAAAGATCTGTTGATCAAATTGCCCAGCATGTTTCAAGAGTATCATGTGTATCTTTTCCATCTCTTTCTTTAGCTGTTCGTTCTGCAGTTCCAGTTCTTGAGATTCATGCTTGAAAGTATTAGCATCTTTAACGGCAATTTCTAATTTTGCTCTCAGAGCCTTTGCCTCATCTCTAGCCGCGTTCCTTTCATTCCTTACTTTACTCCATTTCTCACGCCAGTTAGCAGTACAGTCGGACCACCATCGCATCGTTTTTTCCATTTGTGCCGCACGTGCTCTTGCTTCCTCAAGCTCTCGCTGTCGTAAGGCCTGTTTGATGAGAAAACACATGTAGCAATTAATCAATAAAGTCATTGTCAAACAATATTATGGTCTCTCAACTAAATCTCTCAAGAAACCCACTTATAATTAATATATACTATTATAAAAACTTGAATTCATGATTATACATATATAATGCGAAATTAAGATTAAATATTAAAAGGTCTGATTATTATAAATCTGGAGTATTAAATAATTTTCTGGTTATCCTGCAGAGCAAAATAAAATAAATAAATAGCAGTAATTAGTAACATTTATAGACTTATACTATACATTAAGCATTTCTATAAAAAGTTCAGTCAAAGCTCATAAAAAGGTAATTCAACTTTATTTTATTCATTGAGAGAAAAGATTATTTAAAATCCTATTTGCAAAGTAATAGGCCTAAAGTTGTATTATATTCGCTACTACTTCTTTTAGCAAAATAAACAAACGAGTATGATACAGATTAAATATTAACATTACATGTTTACGATATAATTATGATATAAATAAATGCAAATATAATATATTATATACAAAATATGTTATAAATATAGAACAGGACGCGACTAATTCAGATATATAATTAATACGGCACAATTTAAGTCTGCAGAAAGGAGCTACCTCTTTAGATTCCCACTCGCTGTCCATGTAACGCGACGAGGATGGCACCTCATGCTCCCGCATGTATCGTCGCGAGGAGGTTCCGCTTGTTGTCGACTGTGCCATGGTACGAGCAGCGCGTAACCTGCAATTTTGTTTTTACTGACAGCCCCCGGGCGATCTTTCCAATTGTTGCTCCTTTGCTTCCGCGGCACCTTCCGGCACCGAGTTAATGCTGATTAAGCATCCAGAGCATCGTTCCTGCCTCGATCGCACTGTTTAAATGTCGTCAGTCTTGAATGAACAACAAAATTCCGTACATACCACTGACAATATCATACATATAAACGTACACATATAATACACATACCTGACACGGCTGACACTACACACACATATATTTAACGACGATAGCCGCTGATAGCCACCTCCCTCACAGAAAAAGAGGAGCTTGGGGGTTGTCTGAACTGCGACGCGCGTAAATTTGAAACGTCATGAGTATTATATGGATGTCCTAAGAATATAAATATATTTAATATATAATATAAAGATGCATTTTCAGGGAATTTAAGAAATAGATTTAGGTTATTGCCTTTATAAAGTGCTAAGAACAAGCCTTTTAAAGTGCTAAGAAAATTCTAAAGAGTTTCTAAAGGATTCAAAAACGGATCTTTTTAGGTAATAAAAGTTGAAAAGATTTGTTAATATACAAGTAGATATACTTGTAGTTTGAAAAGATGTCATAATTAAAGGGCCTGAATATTTTATAATTCTTATATAATTCACCTTATAGTATATTACATTTATACAAACTTGATTTTTTTCTCAACGTTTTTTATCTTCGATTTTATTAAAATCTTTACCTTGAAAGCATAATACATTTAAAACTTACAAACATAAAATTCGATTTATTATTACAGATATTGTTACAGACATCTCAATTTATCTTCGCTTTCTACCGCCAACCTTCTTGTGCAAATCCCGCTTGCCTTTCCCTGCCTTCGGCTTTTTGGCAGTTTTATTTTTACTTGCTTTTAATGCGCCTTTCCTCTTTTTATTACCTCTTGTTGTGGACTGCTTTATTCTGCAGATATACACAAATAAATATTGCATTATTATGCTCAATAAATTTAGATTAAACTTGCGCAAGTAAAAACTTACTCTGCAATTCCTGTCGAATAATCATCGCGTACAATTTTCGTGTTACTCTTCAAAACGCTATCCACCAGATTTTTATTCTGACGTTTCTCTTCAATAACGTTTAATGGAGGTGCTTTTCTTTTTCTTTTCATTCCTGTTACTTCCTTGGCAATTCCTTTTGCATCTTTCTCTTTCGGTAATCTGTAAAAATTTTATATTGTACTATTTTGTTAAAAAAAAAATCTTATGGCATTAAAATTGCAATATTTAGCGTATAAGAGCATACCTAGACTGGAATTTTCCAATAGATGCAGTCGACGTACGTGCTATAGTTAGAGCTTCAGAAAGCTGTTGAGAACTCGAAAAGTGTTCTCTGGTAGGCAAACCAACTCTCGGTAATTTGATATTTTTCGATTTTGCTATATTGCGAAGTCTTTGCAATTCGTTTTTGGATTGCCTTTCCTGTTTAGCTGTTTTAGCTTTAGCAAACGGATCCTCGGTCGAGCTAGCATCACCCTTGGCCTCTATTAACCATTCTTTCTGTTCCTGAGCCTTTACTCGTTTGTAACCGTATGTTGGAATCCATTTCTGAAAAAAAAAAAAATTAGGACATCAGATAAACTGAATGATTAATTATAAGCCTTTTCATTAAACTATTAATAGTAATTTAAATACTTTAAAATATATTCAATAATTTTTAATAATTTAAAATATAAATGTAACAAAATAGTTTCAAAAGTAAAAACAAACCTTCAATTCCTCGTCCCACTTCAGTTTGGATCTACCTTTCTTTTTACTTCGAATTCCCTTTTCTTTAGCAAATTGCTGCCACTTTGTCAAAGGCTTCGGCTTCGGAATGACACGTGAGCGTGGCAATGTATAGTTAGACTTGGGCAACTTAGCCACTATAGCTTCGTCCACTCGTTCTACTGGCAATTCCCAGATTTTATTGATCAGCAACTGTACGTTGTCTCTTGTCAGATCTTTCAAATATGAATTTGGTTTTGACCTACAGATATAACACACATTATAAATATTTTTCAGAAATGAAACCAATTCGGAATGTTTTCTTACAGTGCCAACATGTGTACAAAACGGAATTACTTTAGAGCCTTTGCATTAAAAACGTTATAGTCGGATGCGAGCAGAGTTCCCAGATCGATGTCAAGCTCCACATTCTTGTGAACTTTTATCGATTTACTTAAATCCTCTTTCTCTTCATTCTCTTCCAAGATCGACTTCACAAGATCCATTATTAAGAACACACGAGTTGAATTCTTGCGAATTTGAGGTTATGCGATTATATGCGATCTCCTTCGTAGCTGCACTGTATTGCACTTTCCGCACTAGTGCAGTAGAGAGAAAAAGAAAGAAGATAACGAGGGACGAGAGTGCAAAAGGATAAATATTCAATCAGAATCGACCAATCCCATCGAATGTCTGCCTATTTCAGTTGGACACGCGATTGGCTGATTTGCTACGTTCAGTGAACTTCAAAAGAAAAGATATTATAATTTTTAGCATAATTTTTAGTACTATAAAATAGATCACGTGAATAAAATTGACGAATATCAAGCATTTGACACAATAAAGGATCCTCTACATAGAAGTAGATGGTCGTGGAATCTTGTAGGAAATCAACCAATCACAATCAAATATAAGGAGAATACTCGATTAGAATTGGCCAGTTTCTTACTTAAGACTCCACGATCGTCTACGATTTCTATGGAGAGGATCCTTGACTATCAGCATAAAAAAAGTACCTTTTTGGTCTATTTTTTGTGACTGCGTTCAGCGGACTCAACAATTGAATGAGCGCTCGCTACTATTAATATATGTATTCTTCCAGATTTAAAATGCTGATTGGATGCTCTAAAAGAATACACCAATAATAGCGAGCGCTCACTCAACTATTGAGTTCGCTGAATGCATCCATGACAGAAGAGGAATTCTCGTATTGGATTATTGGATACGGGACGGTGGGGACGATGTCACATGTCCAGGCAATCCAAGGTAGTTTCGTCTCTGTCAGACTTCGGGATTTTATGTCTTGTCGCTCGGAGCGGATCTCACGATCGACATTCGACTGGTGATACGATCCAATACGCGACTTTCGTTCGAGAGATCCGTCTCGTCCGATTATCTGTTATCGAGTAATGTGAGAAGAAGCTTTTATTATTCGCTTCAACAAAGAATTTCTTTGATTCGTGCGGCCGTACATGTCATGAGACACCGAGAAACGAAGTCTGTTGCTACGCTAGCTTTGTGACTCATTGCGCGATCGACCCACTTGTCATCCTGTGTTGACAAGTGCGTATCAGTGCGTGTCACAGGAGTGGGATTGCACGTTTAAAAACAACGATTGTTCACGCGACGTATTTTTCGATCGCGAGCCTCATTATTCGCATCGCGTCATCAGCTTCAGAAACACCGAGGAGTGACTGTTACATTTACGATAATTGGTTAGTTCTATCTAACGTTATTCACGAGGATTATCCAGAGAAAGACTCGAGAATTATCATTTTGATGTATTAAATATAATGTACGCATTGCGAAAATGTCTATATAATATCGTATAAATAATTGAATTTGTATAATTTAGCTAATAACATCACTGACAGCTCAAAGATGGATGCCGGATTCTCATCGTACCATAACGGTGGTCCCGCGCGAGAACAGGACTTCGGCAGGTTGTCCCAATCAATTGGCACTTCGATATTGAAGATATCACAAAATGGTAGGTTCTGTAATTAACAAGTTTAGTTTAACAAGTTTAAAAAATACAAGATACTTATTTCGATGGTTTGCTTGCAGTGTCTTCCATGCAGAAAATGGTCAATCAGCTGGGCAGTTCCACCGATTCTCAAGAACTCAGGAATCAGCTGTAAGTTATAAGAAGTACACGAATGTCCTTTTCCATCTGTTTTTTACTTTGCATTCTATGAACTGATACATATGGTGTGATACAATAAGTCAAAATAAAATAAACATGCGTTTGTCTTATTTTAATTTGTCTTATTGCATAGTGTACACCAGTTCAGATGGAATACGAAGCAGACATGTAGATTAATCTCAGTTCAACTTACCCTTCATCATTTTCCAGTTTTAAAAATTAGAAAAAGATGAGTGAGTTGAATCGAGATTAAAGTTACATACAAAACATTAGATTGAGGGGATGAACCTAAATTAAATCTTATTATATCCAAATAAACGGAGATGAAAAATTATTGTTTTGTAGGCATCAGATACAGCACTACACACAACAACTGGCGAAGGATACTAGCGTTCATCTTCGAGATTTGGCTATATTAGCGAATAACTCTGGCTCTACGAGCCCTGGAGAACAAAGACAGCGGAAAATGCAGAGGGAACGCCTTCAAGATGAATTTACCACTGCATTGAATTCTTTTCAAGTAAATATCAATATGAATATATTTTGATATGTTATTAATAATTTACATGTTCATAAATCTAAGCTGTATTATATGTTCATGAATCTAGGCTGTACAAAGGCTAGCTGCTTCTAAGGAGAAAGAAATGGTCAGGAAGGCTAAAGCTAGTGCAGGTATTGCGCCATTTGGAGAAAAGAAACAGGATACTCTTATTGAGTTGCAAGACAGTAGAACATATGGAAGTGATCATGCAAAACAGCAGCAGGAACAGATGCAAGAACAGATGAACTTACGAATGTTAGAGGAACAGGAAGCTAGTATAAGACAATTGGAGGTAAGTGCTTTCAAGATTGTTAAAAAGATTTATATGGAAATACATTTTATATGTATGTTCATTGTTTTGCAGAGTAACATTAGCGATATTAACCAAATATTCAAAGATCTTGGAGCTTTGGTATATGATCAAGGAGAAGTGATTGATTCTATAGAAGCATCAGTTGAAAGAACCGAGGTATCTGTTAATGAAGGCGCTTCTCAAGTAAGGCAAGCGAGTATGTATCAGACTAAGCTACGCAAAAAGAAGTGTTTTCTTGTAGTAATCGCGGTAGTCATATTGGCGATTTTGATTGGTATCATAGTTTGGCAAAGCAAGTAAAAGAAAAAGAAAATAAAATTACACGTATTTATATGACAGTGTACAACATGATGGTACATGTAGTGCTATACAAGATTGCTGTCTGTAAACAGTGACAGAATTGCAGATCAGGTAAAATTCTTAGTGACATTTTTGTCCAATCTTAATTATTATTTTAAAACCACATAAAAGATAGCATTGTCATAGAAATGCAGGAAAGTGAAGAAATATCTTGCGAATTTGATCCATTTCATTGTGATAATTGTTGGTGCGAACTTTTATTTGCAAGTAAAGTTTTAATGGCATGTCTAAGATTGCCGCAGTCCATTTGTACGTTTCAATACTCATAAACTACCAGTGTATAATGATCAACTATATATAATATATACGCGCGTATGATAATTTAGGTAACTTAACATAATTATAAATAACAAAGCTAGATATATATGCGTGTGATTGTGAGAAACGCTTGTATGTGGTAAAATAAGTAACAAAGTATGCTTGTTATCTTAATGCAACTGTATGTGCCTGTAAAATATCTTAAGATCTATTCCTAACAGACTCAAGGCAAAATGTCTGAGAGCATTATAGTACTTTAAAAATATCACAATAATTCATATAAGTTAATGTGTATTATATTTAGTTTATATATAGGGATGTTGATTTTTGTTTTAAAATATAATAAATAATATGTATATACAAAAAGACTGGTAAGAGCAAGCTCTAATTATTCTTACCATACAAATCTTATAATAAACAATTAATAAAACAAAATTAAACCGCTTTTAGTCGAGTAGCTCATGTATATATATGTCTACATTAAGAGAATTTAATATAAAAAAATATATAAACTATATAATTTAATTAAATAATAAACTATATATTTTATAAAAATATTTATTTATATATATATATAAA